CTTTTGTCTTTCTTGAAAACAGTATCAGGGCGCATAAAGTATCTTCTAAGGAAAGTAACTAGCTAATTACTCCCAATGTTTATTTATTTATTTATTTACTTTTAATATAGTTTAAGAAAACATTAATTGTTACACATCAGCTTTTTATCCTATTTTCTTAAAATATCCTTCCATCCTATTGAATTTGAGTTTCAAAATTTAATATATATGAAGATCACTAAGATCTCCTAAAATCAATACCCCAAATCAAGATATTAGTTCCTCTTAAATTTAAATTGAAAAAAAATTAAAAATATCTAAAGATCATTAAGAAATCTTAAATTTTCCATAAATCAAAGCTTCAAATCATGATTTTCGTCTCGTTTAAAAAGATCTATGGATCATTAAAACTTTTTAAATTTCTTATGAAATTTTATGCCAAAAAAGTAGTTCCAAATTCAAGACACAAATTCAAAATTTTTCATCCTTCTCAAATTTAAGTTGGAAAATTTATAGAAAGATCTAAAAATCATTAAAGAATCCTAAATTTTTCTTAAAATGAATAGTTTCATGTAATAAACATCTTTTTTTTTTATGTTAAAATATTTATATGTGTAAAAAAAAAGAAAAGAAAAGAAAAGGTACGAGTTAATTTTACCAAACAAATTGTTATTTTCATCAATTTTTTTCAAAAAAAATTATCAATACATCATTCACTAATATATGTTATATAATAATTATTAATAATCACTAAAATATATATTGATATTTATATAAAAAAAAATGATGAGAATAACAATTTGGTTAAAGAATTTAACAGTATAAAAAATATATAAATAATATTAATTTTTTAATTAGTAAAAAAATAAAAGTGAAAAAAATAACTAAAAGTATTTTAGGAAAGTACAAAAGAAGAAATTTTATTTTTTTTAAACAGAGGAAGTACATTGTATACGAGGGCTTGTGAATTGAACGATTAATTATTAAGGGGATATATATATACATATTCATGCAAGAATCCCTTTCAGGTCACGCAATCTTCAATCACCTCTATCGACACCATAATCACGTGGTGACCTCAGCGTTTCTTGATCTTTAGAAAAAGATATGATCATTCTAGAACATTCTAGGGACCAATATCGTTGTGAATCGTGCTTGCTCTCTAAGCGCTCAGGATTTGAATGAATCTTGTCTAAAATCATTTCAATTCAGATGTGCGACCACGTCATACTTGCGTGATCATCTCGATCTGTCTTGGTTCTCAATTGTAGTCATATGCTATAACTTCCCAGCAAGGTTCTTGGAATGTAACATTTCAAGTTACATTCCTCCTGCACCTATCTTTGTCTAATTAGTACTACTGTCTGCTTATCCATCGACAATCTGACGGTCAGTTGGTTTTACACCATGTGTTTTTTATAGTTTATATTTATGGCTTCCAGTGAATTTTGACCGAAGCCGTTTTATTTGTATGCATTCAATAAAAAGGGAAATGATTTTAAGTATTTAACAAACTGGTATCAATATGATCAAAACCCAAAAAAAAAAAAAAGTCATAATATTGTTAATTACATCGGCCACTGATTTAACTCCAAAAATAATGTATTTACTCTTTATTAATATAAAAATTAATTCAAAAATATTTTATTATTTGTAAATATATAAAATAAAAACTTACATGAGCGGTATTTTGTTTACTAGTTAAATATTCGTTCACATGTTATATTTATCGAAAATGCTTGACAATATCATGATGACAGATATCATTTTCAAAAATAAAATATTTTTAGGAATAAATTTAAAAAATAAAAATATTAAATGATATAATACCTATTCAAATAAAGTATTTTTTTTCCTTTATATCTCTTTAAAAAAACATTTTTTTATAAAATTATGATGACACTACCGATATCATATAGCAAAAAAAAAAAAAAAAAAAAAAAAAAAAAAAAATATATATATATATATATATATATATATATATATATATATATATATATAGAGAGAGAGAGAGAGAGAGAGAGAAGCCAAAACAGCTGCATCCTTTTCTTGGTAAGTGCACCGTCCAGGAGTCAAAATGCTAGCCAGCTAGAAGCAAAGAGACGACAGGAATATTACTTCATGTGAAAACAGCTATGCCTTATTGACCATCTTACCGCTTATTTGCTAAATGTGAAATGAAGTAATTAATATGTTTTTCCTCCATTGAATAAATGGAGCAAAACATATTAAGGAAAAGAAATAGCTAGAATATTGAGCCCGAAAATTCATTTCCACGACTTTCCACCCTAGTTTTTGTTTTCTCCAGCACGAGTCTTTTTTTCCTAAGGAGGAAAAAAATTCGTGCGATTGTGCAAGCATTTTGCAAATATTGTGGGTCAAACTAGTTAATGCCAAACCAAAGAAAATATAACAAGAGTTTGACCCGAAATATTGAGTTCAAAATTCTGGTGCGATCCCATCTCCCACATGACTCTTCAACACTATTTTTATGAAAATCAAATTAGAACTAAGAAATTGGTACGTTAATTAAGGTGACACGTGAAACATCTGTATGTAGTGTTCAACTGAAAAAAAAAAATTGTTTGGTTTATGAATTAAGTTGAATTAATTTGGGTACATGCATGATTGTAAGGTCTTAATTAGTCCAAAATCAAATGTTCGTTGCTGTTTAGAGCGTGCAAGTGATCATTAACTATGCAAATATATAGTTAGCAGAAATAATATTATATATATACCCTAGCTAGCTCGTACAAGTATATCAAGATTGAAAACAATTTCTAATTTGTACTGCTATATATATATATATATATATATATATATATATATATATGTTCTATTACTTGTATATTAATTTTATTCTCTTATATATAAAGAAGTAGTGCTTTTATCATCCTTATTCTCTGATCTTTTGTGAGTGCATGCAATAAATTTATTTTGATAAAAAGTATTTCCTTAATTTCACTTATTGTATATATGGATTTTTCTAAAATGTATCCTAAGGCATACTTTAGACAAACGTGCGTCCCTTCTTGTATTTCCGTTTCTACTTTTTCCATTCCTCTCTTGAATTTGCTTTTCAACTTAATTTTTGTTTTTGAGCATTGAAGATTCCATTTCTGAGTTTTTTTTTCTTTTTCCAATGATTTGTTTGAAAAAATTAGCATTTGCTTAGAGTCCAAGAATGACCAAATTTAAGATGCCATCTGATTCACCCAACTAAGTGCTTTCATGTAATACAATTTTGATCATATTAATATTTAATTGAAAGTATGGATATAGTTGTATCTTTTTAGACCTTTATTGTAGAAAACAATGAAATTACAAGTTTTATTACTTTGCCTCAAAACGCATGAATCAAAATTTTATTTGGCAAATTAATAAAAGCACATTAAATTCAAAATATATAGTAACCAGAATTCATACAGCATGAGTTTTGTAATTTAGTTTCAACGGAAGTAAAATATAGTTTTTATAAAATAAAATATTTCAATCTAAAGTTTAATTAAATTATTGAAAATAATTTAATATTATTTTTTAACTCATTCTATTTAAATAAATAAAAATCTTGAACTTAAAACTTGCACTGATTCAAAGAGTTGCCATTATGATTACTATTATGCTAATAGTAGCAAATGAAGGACATCAAAAGCTGCTAAATTAGATACACACCACAAACCAAAACTTACCTGACTCATTGATCCAATAAAGGAGCCAAAGTATGTATCGCTTCCTATTGAAGCTGAAAAGGACAAGAACCACAGCACCCGAGCAATATCACCAACCAATAAATTCAAAGTCAATCACGAAGCAACACTGAAAACAGAAGAGTTGGATGCATTGAAAAACAGAGCTTCACTCTCCCCATCTTCTAAACGGAAAGGCACGTTTAACTCCTTGTGCACAGGAGCATGTTTAATTCGTTGAGCATATAGGCAAGATGCAAGCAGCAGAACCATGATGGTAGATTCAAAGCTTTGCTAGTTAAATTTGCACAGATCCATCACTATCAGGATGCAAACTATAATATCATATCAAATAATTATATCAATCAAAAAATTTAAATTATTGGATGAGATTCCATAATAAATTTTATATAATTCTTTAACGGTTCTAAATCTAACGATAAAATTAATTTATCTTCTTCGTCTTTTTCACTAAACTTTTCATCTAAGTTATTCAATTTCAACTTTCTATTCCTCCTTTTCATTCCTCTCCCGGGGAAAATTTCTCTTCTTTCTTGTTACAGTTTGTTTTGGATATTTATGAGACTGAAAGAAAGAATTTAGGTGAAATATAAAATTTTGATTATTGTTTGCGATATGTTAATTAGTTGAAAAATAAAACTTTCGTTCCAAACATTTTTTTAAATTCATCTACAAGGAATTAAGTGTAGATGAATTTAAGAAAGAATATAGGCTGATCAGTAGGTAGCAATGATCACTTTGTGATGAATCAAAACATTAATTAATTACCACCCATACAGAGAAGAACTCATGTGGATTGAAGTAGTCCTTATTAATTTTAAGTTCTTATAAGATGCATGATCACTAGGAATCCTGAAACATTTAATCACCATAATCTGATAGCTCTAGATTCTTACAGACTTTAATTTGAACCTGGAAGAGAAAATTATCTAGCATATGCACAAAACATATATAATTCAGTATCCATGCATGCACTAAAAATATTAAGATTCAAGAATTGCAGATATATAATATTCATAAGATTAGTACTTAATTTCAAAGCATAAAAAGAGAGGAAATTAACTAGGACTGGAAGAATATTGAGCAAGAAAGCAATTTAAGTGCCAGCTTCTTCAATAAACTCACAACAGAACATTAACTTATTACACAAATGGGACAACGAAAAACAAGTCACTTAATACATATGTTAATATCATTTTACCGTCCTTGAGACAAGAACTTCACCTTGAAGCTTGCTCGCTTGTCTCTACGTACGATGAAATTAATTTGCTTTTCTTACATCTTCATGCACCAACTTATCATTGGTAAGTTGGCTTAGTTCTGCATTCTTTGAAAAATAGCAGCCCTCATAACTTCTTCAGTTACCAATCCATCAGGAATTCTAATGACAACATCTTGAAGCACCAGCTCCTTGACCTTAGACACGCTTGCGTGATGGACTGAAAACTCCAGCTCCCTAAGTGTATCCATCAATCTTGCAGCTGGATAATTAACATCCGGGGATTGTACTCGGATCAGACCTTCCGATCCCAAAATCTTCACATCCACTTCCATTGCATTATTAGATATATAATTTGGAGGGTGCCTTATGTGATTCATCATGGTGCTGGTGCTTTGGTTGTCATAAATGTTTGCAGTACTAGAGAGGTTTAATTTCTTGGATACTACTCGTAGATTGCCTTCCAAATCCTTAACTTTGCTCTTGAGTTCTTTGATATAAGTGACTGCATCCGCAAGCAAAGATGCTTTGTCCATTTTTGACACATTCGGAACCACAGATCGAAGTGCGTAGAATCGATGATTAAGCCTCTCTCTTCGCTGCCTTTCTGCTTCTACGTGGTTTAGAGGCGATTCTTTTCCACCTGGCTTTCTTCCTCTCCTCTTGATCTCGATATGATTCTCTGTGAATCCAGCATCTGAATCAGAACGCCCCGAGTCCGAAGATGATCGGCCTGGGCCTGAGGTTTCTTTTCCTGTCTCGCTTTCTTTTTTATTCTCTAGAGAAGAAGTTCCCTCCTTTTGAGGACTTGAAAACATCCCAATATCAAGGAAATTAGAAATATTGCGGCTTGGAATTTGAAGTTGAGATTCCTGGCTGGCCTGCTTTGGAACTGAACTTGCATTGATTCCTGCACCAAAAATTGATTTGGCTAGTTGCACTAGACTCCAATCTTCTGGGATCAAATCCGGGGAACCCAATTCAAGAACGCCAGATGGAGTTGAAACGCAGACGAAAGTCTGAATTCCATGCATCCGAGCTTCTTTAACTCTCTCGCATTCATACATTTGCAGTTCATGGTCTCCTGCCAACCAAATGGAAGAACCGGAGCTAAATGCCTTGCCAAGAATTCCATCTCCAACGGCAAATGCTCGTGTTACCGATACTGTGTAGTACCATTCAGCAACATCACCGTCAACCAATCTTTCCATGTCCATATCCTCATTGAAAAGAGACTTTCTTTCGAGACTGAACTCGAATTTGGAAAGGTTTTGCTTGTTGCTTTCCTTGTTTGCATACTTTTTGTTGCCGCGGAAATGGCCATCGCCACATGATAAAACAAGGCGACCACTAGCATCTTTTGATGCCTGCCAGAAGATGGAGTAAACCCACCATTCTGGCCGGCTATGAAGGAAGAATTGGAGGCGCTGTTGAAGTGTTGAAGAAGTTTCTTGAGCAAATGACATTAGTGAAGACGAAGAAGAGGAAGATAGTATCTCTTCCATTGATTTGCTTTCTTTCTTTCTTTCTTTTTTCTTTTTAAGCTCTCACCTCTACTTCACCGTGTTTGATAGAGTGTGAGAGTGGGGGAGATTGTATAAAGCCAATAACAGTCAATTGTAAATGAAAGAGAAGTGGGAAGTTATTTAGAGAATTCTTCTTATAAATAGACTTCCATTCAAGCACTGTATTTGGACATGTACAGTAGTGTTCACTGTTTGCCACCATTATCACGTGAGTACATGACAAATGTTATATATGAATCCAAAATATATACCTTCATTATGAATAGAGCAATCTCTATCAAGTGTCAAGGGCCATCATAATCGGCCGAGACCTCGACAATCAGTCCAGAAGAAGTACGCAAATAAAAAAAAATATCCTTTTATCTGGTTGTTAAATAAAAAAAACATAAATTTAATAAAAAATTGGCTTGATGAAATGTTTATGTTACATCATTATCAATCATGACGGTATGTATATAGATTGTTAAACAACGATCATTTCTAAAAATAATCTTGAACCTTCAAATGGATATCAAGAGTTTTTTAACATAAGAAAAAAGATCAATCTGTGTTGCACTCCATGCAAATAGATCATCATCTCCTCCTATATAAAAATTAACACACTAATGTTATAGGTACATCTCTCTATAAACTAACTTAATCATTAGAAAATCCTCAAAACATTAGAAGATGACTTGTTTTGTAGATACTTGACATCGAATTAGTATACATTAAAATATAACAACTGCATAATCAATTTGGATTGGAAGCCATCTCACCATTAATTCAAAGATCATGATCTCATCACCCAACAATTGGTAAAAATTATATTTTGGTTTCATTGAATCTTGTCACATCTAGTGTTGAATAATTTTGATCGAGATTTTTTATAATATTTGAGAGACAATTGTTATTATTTTTTATTTATTCCTCTTTTTAACGTAAGTTGTATTTGCATTTCGGAAATGATTATTGACAAGGTTGTGAATCTCGATTGATAATGTGTGAAGAGGTGATTTTTTCTTTACCGATACATAGATAAGTCTGATGGTAGATGGCGATCAAGTTAGATGAAATACATGTATAACAAATCTCCTTTTGTGGGTAAAAAGACCTTCGGGTGGCTAAGTTAAAGCTTTAAGAAAGATGATAGTCTAACTAGACTTATATGCGAGTAAGACAAGTCTATAAAAGATGATGAATAGTACTTATGAGTCTAGAGATTTAGAACCCGAAACTTTAAGCTCTTTTGTTGTTTATTGTAACACCCTAAAAATTTAAACATTTTTATATGTGTCAATATTTATTTAAATATATGAATATTTATTTAAGGTATGAATTGATAATTTATGCTTGCATAGAAAATAAATTAATGCATGAATTATTTAATGCTTGAATTAGCAAGTTTATAATATTAATCATTATGATTATTATAATTTAATGGTGTAGTTGCAAGACTTTAGAAGGTTTAATTACTACAATTAAAAGATTGGATACTTGATTAAAATAATTAGAAAACTCAAGTGACCACTATAAATTAGAAAAAGCCTAGATTAAGGACTAGATTATGGAAAATTGAATGTTTAGGGATTGAAATTGAAGGATACGATTAAGATGATTAAGGAAGTTTAGGGACCAAAATGTAAAATTTTGACAAATTGAAATACCAATTAATTTAGCTAGAATTGATCCTCTCCAGCTAGATTTAAGTTGGAAAATAAAGAGAGAGAGAGAGAGAGAGAGGTTAAGTTAAGTCGATTAAAAGAAGAGAAAGGAAGGGAAAATATCAAAGAGAAAAGGAGAGAAATGAAGAGAAATTTCAAGAGAGCTTTTAATGAAGGGATTTTTTTATGGAACCCAATGTCTCACACTTGGCAAAATCACAAGGAAAATCTCCTTTATAAATTTTTCCAATAAGAGAAAGGAGAAGGAGCATAAGTAACCAAGAATTCAAGGAAGAACAAAAAAAATTCAAGCATGTTCAAGTAAAATTAAGCCTCGCCCACCTCCTAAACTATCTTAGATCCAACCTAAAACACCTTAAAATCACTTGAAAAAGACAAACGAGAGGAGCAAAAAGGAAATTTTAGGTCAAAACTTTGAAGAAGAAAAAAAGGAGGAACTTCAAGCCATCAAGGAAGAGGTTTTTATATGCATCAAGTGAGGTAAGCATAGTCTTCGACACACCTTCAAGAAAATAATTAATTTGATGCTTGATTATTACTATTTTAAAGTTTTAGAAATTATGAACTGATTGTTTAAATTGATGGGTTTTGGTGTAATTGATATATATTGATGAATTGTTGATGGAAACATGTATGTGAAGATTGAAATAATATGTTCAAAGGTTCAATTGAGGTTGGATTGAAGAATTAAACTTAGACAAAAGAAGCTGAAAGTTTTGGCCAAACATAGTGAAATTAGGGAAAAATATTAACTTCCATAATTTTGTATTCTTAGGTGTTCTTTAGGTATATTAGGTATGTTTAAGGGTGGATGATTGAAAAACTTGGCTTGATTACCTTTATGGATCATTTTGATCATAAACTTTGAACTTAGGCTAATAAAGTTAATTGGTGAATTAGGATGTAATTGGGTTAAGCTGGGATGAATTGATGAAATTGATTTGATTGTATGTTTGTAATTAATTAAAGTTTGTTCATGTTTGGATGAGTAATTATTGGTTGAAATGATGGTTAATTATTGGATGGGTAATGTCAATTGATGTTTAATTATGATGGGTCATGTTTTAAATCAATAGATTAAGGATGGAATTAGGTTTAAATAAGATTTAAAAACCTTAAAATTTTTTAATAGAAGAAGTAATTGGTAGTTAATATGTTTGAGGCAAATCTGGATTTTGATGAATTGATGTGCCAAATCTGAATTTTGAGTGAATTGGTGTAATTTTCATACATTTGTTAATAACAATCCTAGTTCTAGTTTATTTAGTTGTATGGTGACATGTTAAGTGGAAATTAATAGGTTCCAAGCTTGGATATATCTTGGTTTGTTCTTGACAAATTCAACCTAATGCTAAATTTAAACTTCCTTGGTGATTGTTTATATATCATGCTCAAGTAAAAGTGTATTATGCCATTAGTTAATTTGATATGGATAGTTCTAAGGCAAAATGATAATTGTGTTTATGGCGAGGATCATTCGGTCAAATGACTAAAAATAAGATAACTGGATTCTTGATGAGTAATTATTGGTGTTGAATTTAGATGTTCCGACCAACACTATATGGAATGATTAAATGATATTTTCATGTATGAATTTATTGATTATGTGATTGGTATGTCATTGGATGAATTTAGTATATATTCCTTTTATGTTTTACGGATAAATGCTTATTAATAATCATGGATCATGTGTTATGCATTCATGTCATGAAATAGTTTTTATCGTGCTTCATGTTTTCAAAAATAAAATTAATTGCATGGATTTTTAAGAAAATGGTTAGGCATATCCCAATCACGAGTCACGAGCTTAATCATGGCATATAAAGAGAATAATCAACTCTTTGTAGACGTCACAACCACATGTTCAATCATGGTTCATAAAGGAGAATAATCTAGTGTATACTCCTCGTGAACATCGTAGACTTTAAAAGGGACATGCCTAGTGTTTTTCATAATTTTCACGGATATAGTTTTCAAGAATAGCTGAATATATATAAATATATTCGAAGGATGCGTCCTATCATAGAAAACATATTTGAAAATCATGAAAATGTATTTCATTGCATCATACATCATGCATCACATGACATGCATACATGACTACACTTAATAAGTGTAAGCTATATTTGTGAAAACTATATCCGCATCATACATCATGCATTACATGTATAGTGCTTTTCATAGTTTTCAAGAATAGCTGGATATATATATAAATATATTCGAAAGTGTGTGTCCTGTCACAAAAAATCTATTTCAAAATCATGAAAATGAATTTCATTGCATTATACATCATGAATGCATTACATGGCATGCATACATGACTACCCTTACCGAGCATAAGCTATATTTGTGAAAACTATATCTACATCATACATCATGCATTACATGTTTAGTATTTTTCATAGTTTTCACATATATAGTTTTCAAAAATAGCTAGATATATATAAATATATTCGAAAGTGGTTGTCCTGTCACAAAAAATATATTTCAAAATCATAAAAATATATTTCATCGCATAATACATCATGCCTTACATGATATGCATACATGACTATACTTACCGAGTGTAAGCTCATCAAGTTATCTTGTGATGTAGGTATTCAAGAACATATAAAGACTCAACGTGAAGTTGATGACAAGCCGAAAGAAAAGCGTATAGGAGCTTAGCGAAGTGTACTCGTAAAAATTAGTATAAGTTTAACCTATTCCATTTTAAATGGTCTAGGTATCTTTGTTAATCTAGAACATGAACGAATGAATAAATAAATATTTTAAGATGTTTATTAATTAGTTGGTTTGACAGGTAAATTGCTAATTAGACAAGAAATTAGATAAAGGATTAATTACTAAAAATATTAAATGGTTTTAATTGATATAAGTTAATTAAATGGATAGGTCAAATTCTAAGTTAAAATAGTTTTCAAAAGGTTAAGTGAATTATTTAGTTTTCCTTAAGACAAGGATTAAATTACAAAGAGTTTAATTAAATACATTATCCAAGTCAATGGGATTTCTAAGTTATAAAATGATATTAGAATTTTAAATGTTTCTAATTAATTACTTATATAATAATGTTATACATGTCGAATTGGCTAAATAATTAATGAAAGTTAATTGGATTATTTAATATTTACAAAAATTATTCCAAAGTATCTTAAGAGGAAAGAATTAAATGAAGATGGATTTAGACTTTAAGTGGTTTTAAAATAATTAATATGTTTGACATCAACATGTCTTACATAATGTATTTTCAAATGTATATTTTCATAAATGTTAAGTATTTTCGAAACATTATCTTTATAACTATATTTTTAG